AGGCAAGGAGATGCCTTCAGGGAGATAAGAGGAGGGAGGGACAGTTGAGAGGCAAAGGTGAACACTGAGAGGCGGAAGGGACAACTCAACCTCAACGTGAATAAAAACAATACAAGCTCTTTCTCCAACAGACAAAGGAAACTGTTACTCACCAACTTTATATTGGTTGCTGGGAGAAGTATCATTCACTTTTCTATGACATATTCTCGGGGAATTTGGAAATCCCTTTTGGACGTACATGATACACATCTTACCTTCTTCATTATGAACACATGAAACTGCCATATACTGAATCAGACCATCAGTCCATCAAGGTTAGTATTGCCTACTCAGACTGTCAGTGGCTCTCCAGGGACTCAGGAAGAAGAATTTTAAAAGTGCTCAAGTGACCGCCTATAAATAATAACCGCTCTAAATTTTCTTTTCTTGTAGCTTGCTTTATAAAATACTTGTGCATTGGAAATTAGCAGAAATGTGAACACCTGCAATAAAAATTTGAAAAAATTATCTCCTAATAAAAGAATCCTTGTACATATTGAAAATGATATGTTTAAACCCAGATCATATGGACACATACGTTCCAAGTAGTCTTACTGAAATCCATTTGACTCCAGACAAGCAAAGATTAATGAATGTAGGAAGCAAAGATAAAGCAAATCTACAGAGGATATAGGCTTCTCTGGGATTCATGCAAGACTGCAGAATTAATTCCCACAGGCCTTAATAATGACATAGACCTGTTATGTTTATCTTGAAATGCAAGATGAACTTCTTTGCGTTTGTCTTCATTAACACAGGTATTTGTCTAAAGGGGGAGGGAGGGAATCCTCATTTTTAATGACTACCTTTCTCTTCCCTGCCCAAGTGGGTTTTTTGGCATGGCTTTTATAACTAAAGAAACTATACAATGCCTACAAAATATTCCTTTGATAAGTGGATAAAAAGAAAACTATTTGGCACATGCTAAAGATATAGTTTTTTTGCTTTTCTTTTTTATGGAATGCATTTGGATACTCCTCACATCACTTTTTAAAACACTCTTTATTGTACAACATAAACTTGGCTGTTTGATAGTTTTCCCTAGGGTTAGTTAGGTGGGACAGGATATATTATTGCTGCTGATTTTTTTTCTTCTGGCATCTGCATTGTTACTTTAGTTGTTTTGATCACACAACTTATATTTCTGAATATAAAAACAACAATAATAGCAACTTAGCTAGATCTCAAATTGCGGAACACCATCTACCAGAGTCAAATACCAAACTGTGACAGTTCATCATCATCATCATCATCATAATGCATGATGATTCTGTTTTGTTCAAGACCATTTTTTTTCAACGTTGCTAGTTTTCCAATAGCTGATCAGGTCCCTGGTCTGATTGCTTTATAGAAGACCCTGCTTCCAGTAGCACATCAGGCCTCTGCCCTGGTTGCCCGCCCTGGTTGCCCAACAGAAGAGCCTCTGTCCTATAGCCCACTTTTTGCCAGAGATCCAGTAACACCAATCTCTGACGCAGTCCTTGTTAACTCAGGCAGTGACTGAGCCAGTATAGATTTTTGTTGGATGTTACAAGTTAGAACACTTCTGTTTAGTATTTACTGGGTTAATACTGTGTACTGAACCACATGTTTGTTTGTATTCTATCTGCTTAGAGAGCTAGAAAGCCCGCCAGATTGAGATGTAGTTTGTTGTCCTGATTGGGAAATGAAGTGGCTACTATTAGCATTTTATGACCCTTTGTCCAGAGCAAGAAGAAGCTCCAGTCTCCATTAGACCTCCGCTATGTAAGGAAGTCTCCATTAGTCTTAGGATGACTTAAGATGTCTCCAATTAGACCTTAATCAACCGTCTAGATTTGAGGATGTAGAAATAAAGCTCTGTGTTATTTTTCATGCTGTTTACCCTACCCGTGTTAGGTTTTAGTAAACTTTTATATTTTAAACTACCATGGACTCAGACTCATTTATACTCTGCTAACTCTGCTAATTAACTTTAAGAAATTAAATATAAAACTCCAATAATTTTGCATTCAGTTTTCTCACCATATCGAATAGGGGTTTGGGATACATGTAGTCTGACTTCTTAGTACAGGCCAGTCTACCATGGGAGACCCTGCCAACAGCTATGCTGCTGATAACATAGCCCTCTGCTTCACTGGAGCACACAAAGCCCCACCAGCAGGGCAAGCTAGCATCCCATGGGTATGAAGAAAGAGAACTATTGGACAGTGCCTGGAAGAGATGAAGTCCATGGCTATTGACTTAAGAAGTCGACAAGTCTTCATCCATGATTGGTGCAACAGCTTAACGATGTGCTCCATTCCAAAGCAGTAGAAGATTGGATAACAACTGGCAGTTTGGGGTAGTGGTTAGGAGTGTGGACTCTAATCTGGTTGAACCGGGTTTGATTCTCCACCCCTCCACATCCAGCTGCTGGCGTG